TGATAGTCATGTATTGGCAACTCAAGTAAGCCACCCCATTACGGGTTACACTGGACTTGTGAAAGAAGACTGAGGTACTAGCCATCGACAGAAGCTCGAACATAAGAGTGAGACAAGACAGACCATGGGCTGTCAGACAAATAGCGAGGGAGTCACCCGAACTTTTGCCTTCTACCTCTATGGTGGTACACGGTGTTCCGGAGCTGGGAACGGGCACTGATTGTGAAAAACACATGCATGACGTACAGCAGTGGAGATGGCTGTCATCTCAGATGGACCTTGGCGCTTCTGGAGCCATCTCCGTTTACCGACTACCTCGCCCCGCTCATCTCACACTGATTAGCTCCCCAAAGTTGCTAAGTGTAACATTCAGCTCCCCAGAGCAGTTGACCATAGCACTTCAACGGTGGTATGAGATCAAGGGGAAATTGGGAGGACACATCCGATGCTGCGAAAGCAGACCTCGAACCACAAGGAGGCAGCAAACGGAGGCTTTAATACGTCCTCAAGCTTCAGTCACACTCGGGCGATGCAGTTCTGAGAATAACAGTCTGTGCCACCCAAGTGTCCTGCCTAAATCCAAGGGAAAATACTACAACGGGCCGGTTCCATCGGAACTGGCCAACTAGTCCCAACATTAAGTCCCCTACCAGCAGACAGCTTCACGTCAACTACCCCACAACACGCTGAGGTTGTAAGACTCACTGTCAGCTGCCTATATAGCAATGTGAGGGGGCTGAGAGGAAAAATAGGTGAAATCCGAAATCTCCAGGCACACCTACAATTGAAAATGATCATTCTCACCGAAACATGGCTAACTACCACTATCGCCGATAATGAAATCAGTATAGGTGATATGGTTTTGGTCAGGAGAGACAGGGATAATGAGGAAGGAGGGGGAATTGCCATATACTTTGATAGGCAACTTAAATGTGTATGTGCAACGAATCCACCACTTATTGAACTCCCAGACTCCATATGGTGCCATTTCACCGTAGGCCACACCAAGCATTTACTTGGTGGCATCTACCGATCTCCCACCTGTGGGGCAGAGCACAATCAGCTACTGCTCAGCACTATCACAGGGATACGAGACTTGGGCTATGACCAAATCACCATTGCTGGAGATTTCAATGCCCCATCACTGAACCTTGGCTCGGGGTATGCTAAGGGAAAATTTGACCGAAATCTACTGCAAGCTATTTGGAACACGGGACTGATTGAGAACGTTGGAGACGACACTAGGTGGAGCCCTAGTGGAAAGTCATCAAAAATAGACTATTTAATAATAGTAATTTTATAAAATAAATTTTTCCCACCTGTGTAGGACACACCAATTGTACAGGCATGGATAAGTATTATTTAAATTAAATAAATTTGGTTCATGGTTAAATAATGTGGTTACAGTCATTTTGTCTATGGGAACAATATGATAACTAGTCATTCAATGGAGCACATCAAGAAATATAGAAATATTGTCTTCGCATTAACAAAAAAACCCACGTATGTTCTGGATGGATTACAAATACTTGGGAAAAAATAAAGCTTGAAGTAATTCCTCCACATAACTTTGGTGTGTACGGCATCGAGTCTTATTCTTGATTTATATCCAAATTTGGTAATAATTTAAAATAAGTAATACACTTGTATACTTTTGTCAGCATTCTCATCGTAACATCACAAGTGAATTGTACTCAATGTAGACTAATAATAATGACAGTTTATATTTTCTTATAAACGTGTGTTTTCAAGAAATGCAAGCTATTTTTGCAGGTACAATCAGTTATGTTGTAAGTTACAATCGTGAAGTATTATAAATCAATACTTTTTATTGGAATAAAGGTATATTTCACAACTGTAATCCAGGTTGCGTCGTTGGTGAAGGTAATGCGTAATTCACGAATGAATTGTAAGATATGGGACCAATAATGTTTGCAGATTATCTGTCATTGTAAATGGTCAAATATCCAAATTCTTCATTCTCATTCAAAAAGTCAAATTGAAGCTAAAATGGTGAGAAAAAAGAAGACAAACAACATTCTAACTAGTGACCAACTACTTGTCGAGAAGGTTCAGATCATGACTCCTCTAGGAAGTAGTGACCATGCAGTCATAGGTTTCGACCTCGTTCTCCGTGAACACTTGCAGTGGGACGCTACGCAACCATGTCTGTGTTATAGCAAGGCTGACTATGCTGAAATGCGGAGGCTCTTGTCCGATGCAGACTGGCCCTTAGCATGGGATGAGCCGTCTGTGGATGAACACTGGGAAGCGGTAAAAAAGATTATTCATACAGTAATCTCGGATACCGTCCCTTTAGTTACAACACAGCCCAAAAGAAAGTCATCATGGTTAAAGAGAGGCACGCAGCGTATTCTGCAAGCAAAGCGGAAGGCTTGGTTTATGTGGCGCGTATCTAAAAGCCAGATCGACCATGATGCATACCTGGAACTCAGGAACCGGTGCAATGCAAGAGTCAGGAGGGACAGAAGGTCATTCCAGGCTAACCTTGCTAAAAACTCCTGGCAAACCCGAAGAATTTGTATCGATTCATGTCGGAAAGGAAACCAACCAACCAGGGGGAGTGCGCCTTAGTAGGTCAAAACGGTCAATATCTCACTAGTCTGGAGATGGCTGAAACATTCAGTTTAGCCTCCGCCAAACAGCTAAACAGCAAGTGAGTATTACCGTTACGGACAAATGTGACTAATTCACAGGAGGACCCCCCAAATAAACCCTGCAATAGTACTGAGAAAGCTGCAGCGACTCATACCTGGGAAGTCCCCAGGTTGTGATGACATCAGGCCATCTGTTCTGAAACAGTGCACCGAGGCTCTCTGTAGGCCCTTACGCGACTTGTTGCAACAAGCAATGGATTCAGGGAAACTGCCAAGGGAGTGGAAAAGAGCCATCCTTTCTCAGATCTTAAAGGGTGGGGATAGGCAAAATCCCACCAGTTGTAGACCAGTAGCTCTACTCCCAGTGGTATCGAAAGTACTGGAAAGTATTGTTGATGATCACATCAGGGAATATCTGGACAGTTCCAAAATACTCCATGAAGCCCAACACGGTTTCAGGAGAGGGAGATCCTAACTTATTATCAGCTTGGGACGACTGGACATCATGCTGGGATATGAATGTTCCAGTCCATGTGACCTTTCTAGACTTTGAGAAGGCATTTGACACTGTTCACCATGACCTTCTCCTACACAAAATAAGCCAGGTAGGTTTAGGTAAACCACTTCTGTCATGGTTGAAGGACTACCTAACTGAAAGGCAACTTTGCACTAAGGTCAATCGAGTCCGATCATCTTGGCACAGCTCGTCATCAGGAGTGTCGCAGGGTTCTATCCTGGGACCACTGATGTTCTTGATTTTTATCAATGATCTACCATGCCGTCTAAGCTGCCCGACTCTTCTGTACGCTGATGACGTGAAGATATGGAGGGCGATAAAGTGTTCGGAGGACTCAAATAGACTGCAGGCAGATCTAAGACTTCTGGAAGACTGGGCGGTGGCCAGTGGCATGACTTTCAACCTGAAAAAGTGCAAAGTAGTGAAGTTACGCACCTGTAGACTGCAGAATGCAAGTTACACCCTGTGCAATGAAAGCTTGTCCTGCGCAACGTCGGAACGTGACTTAGGTTTAGTTCTAACGGAGAAAATGGACACAAGTGTAAATTACACGGGGGATGTAGTGAGGGCATATGCGGTCATACACTTTACACATAGACAATTAGGTGCACTCACTCCTGAGCTCTTTCTAAGGTTGTATAAAACATACGTCAGACCGCATCTTGAAGTGCATAATATCATTGCACCCTCACTGCTTAGAAGAGACGCCAACCTCTTGGAAAGAGTCCAACGACGGGCAACAAAAGGAGTGGTTGGTCTCCGAAATAAACCATATGATGAAAGGCTGAAGAAATTAGGCCTATTCACACTTAGTTACCGTCGTCTTAGGGGCGATTTAATTACTACATGCAAAATAACATGATCAGAATCACCCGAACAAAGGTGTTCTGCCATTGAGTAGGTATAGGCTCCCTCGTGGAAATCCTAGAAGGATAGCTCATCAGAGGGCAAGGACCCGGGTGCGCTGCCACTTCTTTTCCCTGCGGGTTTGCCGTCCCTGGAACTCCTTACCGGCAGATGTAGTCTTACTCTCCTGACAGCTTTAACTACACCTATTATTATTGTTGTCATTATTACTGGTATATATTGTTGCTGCAGATATTTTGACTGAACTAGAATACACGTATATCTTAGTACTTCTTCGCTTTTATACTTGTGTCCTAACGTTGTGATTACTCAACATCCACAACGTAATTCAAAAGGCACTTGCGAAGGAATACGACAGTGTATTATTGCAGCAATCAAAATTCAAAAATCGAGCGAGTACAAAAAGTATCAATTGTTAACATGCAAGATTTAGAGTAATAAATAAATGAAAGTACAATTACACAATGAAGGTATAGTACGATTATGAGTAATGAAACGGGTCACTATAATATATATATATATATACCGGTTGACTGACTGTTGTTACGTTTTCTTATACTTTTTCTGTCTGTTAGTCTGAATACCTTCACTAATTATATCTATTATTATTATTATCTCTTTTCTATTGACGACGATACCGAAGGACCAACTGGTGAAAGGATCAACTCCATTCACAGTAGTAACAGTCTTAACACACCTCATACTACAAACCACATATAATTAATCCCTGCACTACTCCTTTTGGAGTCAACCAAAGCTACGGCAGTCGAGTGGCGGGACGAGCTACGCAGACGTTCACCGAAGATCAGGAACCTCTACCTCACAATCAAGAGGCGAGCACAAAGAAATCAAATTGGTTTATACTAGCTCGTAAAAACGATATTGGATATTGAATAAATAGCCCTTATTACAATCCCCCATTCATATTATTTCAGGGTTCGTTTTGTAGGCATTTAGTTTAACCTCAAAAAACTTCTCACCGATTTTCGAAGAATAAAATGAACCCATCTCAAGTTTTGCACTATTTCATCTCTACAAGTTGGGCTTTGTCCTTGAACTTCTTTTACATTGTACATTTTCCTGGACCGATTTCAATTTTAAGATCTGGGATGTTTAAATTAACAGTGGGGGCGATTGACGTAAATTTGGAGTTAGTTCTTAACCCATTGTAGGCCATAAACGAGGGGAAAAATGTTGAAGAGCCGGTCCTCAAGCTGCTGGTAATTCGTTTTCAAGTCCACTACTGTTTTAGGGGTTCAAAAGTGTCCCAGGGGGCGGTGGTGGCCAAAATCGATATCGACTACTACTTTCTGATGGTGTGAAGACGCATTCATGTAAGACTAGGTTTTATAAGTATTTTTCAGTTGCTATGCTCGCTACCCAGCTGAATCACCTGATTGATGAAAACAAACTGGTTAATAACTCCGTAATTCGTGTAAAGAAACATGTTTGCAACAACATTCAAAACAACAAGTACTATTTTCTTTTATGTGGAGTTATTTTGCAGGGTTGTGCTTATCGTTCTGGACCTTGATATTCTTGGCACGGATGATTCATCAGGTTGGTTTCTGTGTGGCTTTGCTTGTTCTGAGCTTAAATGTGTGACCGACATTTAGATTTTGTTTCATTGTAATGATTTTATTTTCAAAACTTTTCTGTTGTTTGCTGAAGGTTCATACTTTAGGTTGATACCGCCTTAAAAGACTGACTATTCACAAGGACTTCACCACGTGGATGACCAGTGACAAAGCCGCATGCTGGGTTTCAGCACAGTATATAACGTAGGTATTGTACACTAGGCTTCTGAGTTACACAGCCACCTTACTTAGTAGTCTTCACTTGGTTAGTATCCATATCAAAGGTCAGATTGGTCATTTGTGTTGTTTAACGTATTTTCTACTCCACTCGGTCACATACAGGGCAGATCGTAATAAATACATCCGACAAAATCCATGCAGTTTAGGGATTATTTGTCTAGATATTCATAACATTGCATAGCAACAGGGTTTGTATTCGAAATTAATTTCGTCTTGTGGTTCAACTGGATTCGCTTTGTCTTCAATCGTTAAGTCTACACTGTTGTGTTCCTAAGTCTTTTAGTTGCGGATGTAGCCAGAATGGTCCTTACTGTAGTCATTAGTTTTTCTCCCATAACTGGTTGGAAGAATAACTGGAAGTGTGGGTTTACACGTAGATGGTGGAATAGGCTTTGGTATGTCAAATAGATCCTCGGGGTTTTTGGCACGCTCGGGTGTAGCTTTACGCCTTTCAATTGTCCCATAATGCTTACTTTCGGAATCGCAACCTGCATGGCTGGTTTGTCGGGTATCTTCGTGTTGCTCATCGTTCCGTTTAAATAAATTTCACTTAACGCCCAGACAGATCGCTCATATGTAAAACCATGCATAGGAATGTATTCATTCAACTCATATCATACAGTCATGTAAAAGATAGCCAGAAATCAGATAAGTATAAACTGGTGAATATATTCAAAAACCCTAACAGATAAGAATGTGGAGTGCAGAACCTTAGATAAGTAAAAGTACACAAGTTGCGATCCTTTCAATGAATATATGTGTTGTGATGTAAATGAGGAGCATGGAGCGTTTAGTCTTGACTGTGTTTAGGACTAACTCCTGGTCAATTTAATTTCAGGTGCGATAAAGAATGAGCAGACAGCAACAATACCTAAACCAGTCGAACCAGAGCACAAAACACCACCCAAGTCTGCAAACGGTCCGTTTTCTGGGGGTCAACCAAGTACTCCAGGGACCCCTGGTTCTGGACTACCTCGTGTATTTCCTATCCAGAGCCTTAATCCGTATCAAAACAGGTGGACTATACGAGCTCGCGTATCACAAAAGTCAAGTATTCGAACATGGAGTAAGCAAGGTCGTGATGGAAAGCTTTTTAACTTCACATTGGTTGATGAAAGTGGGGAAATCCGTGCAACTGCATTTAATGCTGAAGCAGACAAGTATTATGATTTAATCGAGGTAAGTAAAATCCAGTTTTGATGAGTTGACATCTGTAGTTAACTAAGTGTACTAGCAACCTGTTTCCGGAATTACTATTGAGTGTTGGATTTAAAGGAAGCATTATTTTTATTGGTGTCCTTGTGTATACCGTTAATTGGTGAAACAAATTACAATTGTGATGACAGTAGTTGTTCATACTGCAGTGATTTTATGACGAAGTCGTGCTGTTGACAAAAGGGTAGGATGTGTCCATAGACGATTAGTAACCCAGCTTTGTTGCTTTCTCAGTTAAGAATGGAGTGAAATTTTATCGTTGATGGTCTTACACTATGACAAAGTGGTTCTTGCACAACAGTAAGATCTTTCGTGTGGACATAACTGCACAAGTTCCAGCATGCTTAAACAGACAGCAACCACCGGTCTCAGGCAGACAAAGTGAGAGTTAGGTAGTCAATTAAGAGTAATCTTCTGTTAGATACCAAAAAGATACTTGCTTTCACTGTGTGACCACTCGAGAAAGGTGACCCACCTACATGCCTGGTTGCACTCATGTATTCTGATCATAAATAGCCCTCAACTACTTTTTAAATTTTTCCATTCCATTGCTAACATATCTGCGCTACCTTCAACAGACGTCACTGGACAGAAATTTGGTGTTTTGCATCGTGAATGCGCCGTGGTAAAATATACTTAAATATCAGAGATGCAGACACTATTGTATGAAAACATTTGGATTCACACGTAGTGAGTCTGATTCACATAAAAAGACTGTAAGTTGGTACATTCAAAGTCTTAGCATAGATTGATGTTGGTGACCACTTCCCATATCTTAGCTCACATAACCATCCACTTCAAGTCAGTGATGTCAGATAGACGATATTCGACATGCAAGCTGTGAGGTCAGTCCAACGTAGTTTTCAGCGGGGAATTGTTGATTCTTTGAATTAATGCCCTGACATTGTTACTATTAATCAAGTAGATTTATAGTGTGGGCATCAAAGCATGGAAGCTGACTCCCTTTTTTGAAAGGTATGTGGTACACTGCTCCGTGACTCAAATGTAGTAGTTATAGTTCCTCTGAAGATGACTGCATTGCGTGGAAATCTCTAGTGTGTAAGTTATCACTGCATAACCACTACTGTTTGCTAGATAGTGAGAACCTTCTTCTGATCGGTGTTAAGTATGATAGACAACTTATCTGCAAATACGTCAATTGAGATTACTCTGTACTAATTATGAATAGTTGTTAGTCTGACAAACAACCAGTTAATTTCCCGCTTTTGTCAACACCGACTATCACAGATCAGTCTTATGTCTTGTCATGTACTCAGTCTTTAACATATTTACGAAGTTTATGTCTCATTATTTCCATTGATTAACGGGGCCTGGGAAATCGGCTTAAAATTCACAAAACATACGTAGCTAACAGTCGGTATTCCTCTATGAGTTGGCGTCTACAATAGTTGGAACATCTCAGGATAGTTTACTGACAACAGTAAATTAAACATAACACCGGAACTCTATTCTAATCGTTCTACACAGGAAACCAATTTCATAGAAAAGTGGGGGTATGTTTCAAAAACATCTCACGTGAATAAATTAATTATTGTGGGGATAAAATCATCCCTATCGCCGTTCTGAAAAAGTAAAGCTAGTTAAAGTTGTAAATCATTCATCCTTCTTTGTCATTAAGAATGATGGTGTAGGAGGTGGAGTAAAACTTTTGGATTACTTGATATGTGTATAATGAGTTGATAGTTACTGTTCGCTGACACGACATGCACTTCTTATAATAGAAATATAGCGTACTCTTGTGGAATCAGCAAAATCTTTTTCTCGTGCTCAGTCATTGTGAAAAGCGTAGGATTACGTGAATGCTGATAGAAGTGTGGTATTGACCAACATGTAAATTTTTTTTGTTATTAGTTACCAGAAACTTTTACTTTTCCTGTCATTGATTTTCACTATTGTTATCTATCCTATAGGTAAATAAAGTGTACTACGTTAGTCGAGCAAATCTAAAAGCGGCCAATAAACAGTTTAATACAACTAACAATGACTATGAAATGTCACTTCATGCTGACAGTCAAATTATTCCCTGTGAAGATGGTGATACAAGTTCTTTACCGGAAACTCACTTCAACTTTGTCCCAATTGGAAAATTAGACACACAATCTCCCGGCTCTTTTGTTGGTAAGTTTTCGAATTTTTCGCCATTACCCTAAAATAGCTGGAACAAGATTTTTTTCTCATAAGTTGGAAAGTATGAATCAGTCATACCTTTCTGATAATACTATAAATTGAGCCCGTTATACCAACAGTGCCATCTCCACGTCTTCAATCTCACTCATTATCTATCATTAAGGAAGTAATCTTAGACTAAACAGAGAAGTGGAAATCGACGTAAACCCAGACCTGTCGTAGTCGGTAGTAATTTGGGAAAATAGAGTAAACTGGGTGTGAGGCGGGCAACTCTACCCGGTGAATCTCAAAGCTCAAACTGGAGGCCTTATGTTCCACTCGAAATGCGAAAGAATGAAAAAAAGTATCTCACTACTCAAGTCTGCTGTTGAAGCAGAATATAAAACTATGGTCTTTCTTATGAAAAACAGTTTTTTGTTCAGTGAAGAAATATCTCTTTTCAGCGACTTCATTTTCAAGCTGTACAGTCGTATTTATATTACGGAAAAAGAAGGCGTTAAGTGGCACTAGAAATTGCTCAGTCAACATACATATGATAAGAATAAAGATAATTAAAATGATGTACTAAGAGGGTAGAGTAAAGTGGATGAACTACATAACCTTTAAAGATTATTGAATAAGTGAACTGGCATAGAGATTTCAGATTGTAGGTCAGGTGTTGTCTGAAAAATTAAGAATACGATGATAACAATAAAGACGGAGAAGGTGAAGTGAAGTGGAATGAATTCAAGTGGTAAAACAGAATAAAATAAAAGAACATTATTATGACCAAGGTAAAGAAAGGGGTTTGACAAAACGTTTTTAAATACATAATTTAGGTTTTTGTCCATATATAGCTAGAGCTTCAGCTATGCATAAGTGGAGAAAACGTAAGCTTTTGGAGTGATTGGATTTGGTCCTGTAGATAACTTTAAAGGATAAATCACGTGGGGCTGAATGACTTGACTCTAGGTGTTCGCAGATTGAAGACTTTGTCACCATTTTCTCACCTTTCATTAACCAAGCCGGGTAGTGTTCAGCTACACGTTTACGGAGATTACGCTTACAACGTCCAATGTAATCAGCTCCACACGAGCATGTGAATGAGTATATGCACATAGAGGTGGACATAAGCGGTAGTTTATCCTTGACGCATTGTCGAATCATGTTTCGGCTGGTAAATGCTAAATGTGAGTCAGCTGCATAAAAACACCGTTTAATACATTTAGATAAACGGCTTTTAATTACTTCAGAAATACTGTCACCTTTGAAAACCAAACTCATAAAGTGTCTTCTTCGGCACGGTGATTTGGATAAGGACTGTTTCTTTCTTGATGTTTCTGTCGATAAACCTTCTAGGATATCCATTATTTAAGAGAGTTGTACGAAGGCTTTCTAATTCTAAGTCGGTCGTATCTACAGAGAAAATTTTCCGAATTCTGGAGCATAGAGGACGGGTAAGATTTCTCCTCCTGTTTAGAGGTACCCAACTGTTAAGGTTAGTGTACTGACCTGTAAATGTTGGCTTTCGGTAGATCGACCTTTTTAACGTGCCGTCCTCTCTTCTATTGGGCATCACATAAGAAGTGAAATGCGGAGTTCGACTCTTCTTCCACAGTGAAAAGCATAGATGAGTGAGGACCATTAAATTTTCCAAGAAACTCGGCAGTTGAACAATTTTCACAAATAATGGTGTCATCAATGTATCGCTTATACATATACAGACTTGAGATTGTTTCTTTCAATAGTCCCCTCTCCAAGCTCGTCATGAAGACATCCGCTAGGAGAGGTCCTAATGGAGACCCCATGGCGACCCCATCCCTTTGGTTATAGATGACATTAAATCTAAACTGCACATTAAGCGTACATCTCAACAAAAGCTGCTTCGGATAGTCGGCACTCCAATATTTATGCATTCTAGGTCAGTGTGATCAAATAGTTTCTATTAATGGTACATTTGTAAATAACGAGCAAGCATCTAATGAAATCATATGCTTACCAGTCACATTAATTCGATCAACGCAACTGACGAAGTCAAAAGTGTCTGAAAGACTATGTTTACATAGATTTGATCTTACTGGTTCAAGGTTTTCGGCGAGCCATTTTGCTGTAGAATGATACGGAGAGTTAGGCATGTCCAATATGGGTCGCATAGGGACACCATCTTTATGCACCTTAGGAAGACCATATCAACGAGGGATGGTTGAACCAGATGGCTTGAGATATTCATGCATATACGAAGTAATAATAGATTCGTCTTTCAACTTTTAAGTTTTTGACAATTCATTCTCAATACCTTCCGTTCTGTCTTTCTGGTCGGTTGATTTTAAAAACTTTTCTTCGTCGCAAAGAATGGTACATAATTTGTTGATGTAATCCTCACAATTTAAAATAACTATGCCCTATCCTTTATCTGGACGAATTAATATTATATCCTTGTTATTCAATAGTTCGTTCAATTGTCTTATATGCTCTTTTGATATCATCCTGTCATTGTTTGCACTGCGCTTTTAAGTATTGATAGTAGCAATGCATTACGTCAGACTTGAATTGTTCTAGATCTTCACTAGACGTTGGAGTTAGATTCTGTGTCTGATATACTTGAGTCAGTAGTGTTTAGTGAAATTTTCAGTTTCGTTCGTTGCCTAGAGAGCATTGATTTTGCAAGACAGTGATTAATAAACACTTGACTCAACGTGACAGGAATCTGATTCCCTATTGCAGTCTTTCATGTCGAGGATGACTCTGAAATCATCTAATAGGTTTAAAGTTTATTTTCGTATCTCCTGTCAAATGATTCATGAATACCTTAAGAGCCAACAAATACATGAGGATGAATACTATTCAGAATGCCTTCAGGTTACCTATTTTGCACTGCTATCGATCACCTTTAACGTTTTCAGGTGGTATCTTAATATCAAAATATTCCTTTTGGTTTTCTGTTAAGCCAATTTGACTGAAACCAAAGTTTACAGTAATGAATATTAATTTATTTGTGAAGCTTCGAATTTTATAGCGTTTATCTCTTCTTGTCTAGTTCTATTTGCCTAGTATGAACTTCCACTTACTTTTTTTAAAATTTGTGTAATTCACTATTAGATATCGTTGGAGTTGTTCATGAATGCGGTGAAGTTCAAACTATCACAGCTAAAGCATCTCAACGCGAATTACGTAAACGAGAATTGGGTTTAGTAGATAGTTCTAACTGCTTAGTACGGCTTACATTATGGGGTGAAGAGGCGGAGAATTTTGATGGTGCTAATCATCCTGTTGTTGTTGTAAAGGCAGCCAAAGTATCTGATTTTAATGGTATGTTTTTTTTGTTGTTGTTGTTTTGATCCATGCTTATGAAGTAATAAATACGCACTTATTTCACTGACATTTTTCAACATTTTAGTTGAGGTATATTCTCATAGCCTACTAGTTTATCGACTACTGTGTCCTAAATATTTTATTTATTAATTTATTCCTTTATTTTCCTACTGGATTCAAGCTAGAGCTTTGAAGTTTCAGTAGCAGTGACTTTGTTTTCACGGGGTGGGGTCGCTAACCTCGTGTCCAGCCTTGTCCCTTCACTAGCCCTACTACTACCGGCTTAGTGAAGTTTAGGGGTGCGTTGGCCGAGGACCGAGCCCCGGACCACATACGCAGTTGGCGAGCGTTCTATCTCTGAACTGCTGACGCACACACGATGTTCTACAGGAATATCATATTAATTTGTTTCTGTCCGATTCTTTTTTCTTCTGCGACAGCGTGAGGCATGGAAACTTTACATACACTATTTTGTCCAAATTTCTGGGTTAATGAGAGTTCAGTCTTACGCAAAAATCGGATTATTTAAAAAAACTTTTCCAAAAAAGCAACTAGGAATGATCAATAATTTTAGTTTTCAAATGTTGAGTTTGTTGGGAAGAGATTAGTAGCTCTAAATTAGTACATTAAGGAATTAATCTATTCTTAATTAGGTTGGATTCTAACTGAAAATATTAGTCATGTTAGTTTTACTGGGCTAGTAAGAAAAATAGGATTGAAGAAAGCTACAATAAACACTGAGTTTATTAGTTTTGATGACGCTAACTACATACATACATATCCGGCTCCGCAAAAGTATTGGAGTTATAACTATGCCTGTAAATACAGTGAATTATGTTGTCCTGAAATTCATCACTAAGGTTTGCGTGTTTACAATCAATATAGTATCCTAGTGTCCAGTGAAAATATGTTGTTTTTGCAATGAGTCAAGGTATACGGTACCATAGTGTAAATGCACAATGTTTACTATGCGCTAATTATTATAGACAGGTTAATTACTGTGAATTGCTTTTTCGAAGACCACTGCGAAGCTGAAAAAAATGTGTCTAATCTCAGTTTATTTCTTAAACGATACAATCTAGTATGATTTAAATTTAGATCAATGAGGATTCGGTCCCTCATTTAATATTGGGTGAGGAAAGACTGATGACTTTCATCGCCGGCGTTGAAATGCCACATTTAATGATCTAGATTACAGAATTTTGTGGGGATTTCAGATGAATTTCAATTGTTAGATTTTCGTTACAAATCAAACATCAGTTAGAGAGATCATTGAGAAGCAGGGAGTACTGGACAGCTGTTTCGTCCCGGTATGACACTATTCATCGGTACGCATCCATGTCACTCAATCATTTGCAAACAACCATCCTTTATTGATCCTAATATTCTGCAGATTTACCAGTAGAGAAACACTGTTCATATTAGGTATGATAACTATAACAGTTTTAGTGTTAATGTCTTCCTAATTGACAAATAAATAGATAACAAACACAGTGTTATAAAGGAAAGAAGGCGTTCAGCGAAGAGACTCTTTTCGGCGAATTCATTCACTGAGCTGTACAATCGCATTGATATATACAATTTTGTTTGTGTGTGTACATTAGATTTATAAAGTTTAGATAATTACGTAATATAAGTATTATTTGGCTTGGAAACAAACGTTAATTAGATAGAAAATAAAATTGATTAAGTGAATTGGATGACGTAACACAATTGAGTAGAAATTGGACGTGGGTCGGGTTGGCAACATTGTTAATGAGGGTAGAGATTACAAAAGGGTGGGATAGAGAATAATACAAATGAAGATGTGAAATAATAAAATGCAAAAGACAAAATAATACAATTAGTAAGACTGAAATTAAGAAAGATGACGTCCATTGTAGATTTAGTGAATGAACGAATTTCTTTTGTATGCAGAGTTCAGGATTTAGCAGATGAATTGCCATTGCTTCTGCGATGTGGAGAAGTTTGATCGCTACACTTTTAGCAAGATTGCCTTGTATTCTGTAGATAACTTTGAAGTTTATTTGTGGTTTGACTTGGTGTCCAGAGTCGATCAAATGTTCAAGGATCGAGATGCGGGGGCCTCGGTTTTCTCCTTTATAAAACCATGAAGGTAAATGTTTGTTGACGCGTTTGGATAGCGAACGCTGAGTACGGCCGATATACCTGGCTCCACACGAGCAGGTGAATTGGTAGATGCACATAGATGAGGCCAACAGCGGTAGCTTATGCTTCACGTTCATGCGAATCATTGGTCTCGTGGAGAACGTCAGTCGTAATTCAGCTGCAGAGAAGGTTTTCTTCAATGAGCGGGAGAGCCGATTTCTCAGTATTTCTGTAGATTGGTCTCCATTGAACTGTAGGTTCATATAGAGAAGTCTTTTTGGAGCACTGGGTGTGGGCGGCTTCTCTGGTCTGGGTTTCACTGATTTTGTGATAAATCTTTCTGGATAGCCATTTTCAAGGAGGATTTTCTTAAGAGTGTTCATTTCATCTTCTATGGCGTCCAGACTGCAAATTCTACGTATTCTGTGACTTAATGAACGGATTAGGTTTCGTTTAGTATATAGAGGCACCCAACTGTGGAAGTTAGTGAGCTGTCCGTTCCACGTTGGCTTTCTGTAGATGGATCTTCCATTCGGAACAGATTTTTTGCATGTACTATATACTGTGTGAGATGGTCGTTAAGATTATCCATTAGCGCAGATGAAGTGAAACCCATTGGCTTGAAGCTGATTTGATTCAACCAACAAGTCACCTTTCAAAGTTTAAAATCAAACTTCAGATGTTTGCAAACTATTTTGAAGTGGATAACTCAAAAATCAAGTATATTATATTCTCCTACCATGTTTCATCGTTCTCAATTAAATTAATCCTGATAAATTATGTTTTGATTTTTTTAACACGAAATCCGCTTTTTATAATTTTTCTCGGACTTCTGTTTGTTTTGTACTTGTGTGAGTGTAATGCATCTTTTCTCTATTAATAAAGAAAACATGTGCTAAACTACTACAGCACTAAATGTATCATACCGTTGATAGACAGTTGTAGGAGACTTGATGTTATCAGCTTCCTGACCATTTACGTGAAATGGTTTAATTCACATCGTACTTTTACCGTGAGATTCTCTTTCTGGCGTTGTAGCTCATACTATTAAGCATTCAACATTCACTAAGTAACTCGCTGGTTAGAGATCCCTTTGTTTAAACGGATAAGTAGCATTATGGATCCTCAGTGTAGGTGACTTTCATTGCCTGTCTGTCTGGTGCATGAGTATGCATGTGTATTTGTTGTGCAACATTCATCCACTTCTGATAATTACTCTCTTAGATATATCCTATGCTTGCGCAATATAACCTTGTTATCTTTAATAATATTAGGCCGTTCTCTGTCTGCAAGTGGAACATCTTCTATCGTTGTTGCTCCTACAAATATCCCAGAAGCTATACGTTTAAAAGGTTGGTATGAACATGAAGGTCGTTACGCGAACTTTGAAACTTTCCGAAGTGAAATGGCTGGATCTGTGGGTGGAGCAGATGGATCATTTGGTCCACCTGGTATTTTAGGAGGTTGGAATCTTCTACGAGATATTAAAGCACCTGGTGTAGGAGCTAATGTCAAAGCGGATTATTTTACTTGCAAAGTAAGTGTAATTTTATTGATACTTTTTCCTTATGGGAATACATTAAATTGTGTTATACATGAGTTAAAATTCTATTTGGAATAATTCAGACGCATTGTTTCATACCTTTGATTTCTTTGAGAAATTTTGAATAAAGTTGAAATTTAGAAAGGTTTATACTTTACAGTTTCTCATTCAAGTGGGCAACTTACAGTCATAGCACTCATCACCTTAACATATCTGTAAAATAGTGTGATTACACTAAACTAGGAAGTAGACCAGTTTCACAATCTGGTCAGTTCTCGTTACCTATACTGTTGACTGATATCAGCCCCGTGTGTCAGTGGTGCTTTGCTGTTGATAAAGTGATATTCTACTGTGATTTGGAAATTTTTCATACATTTGCATTAATGACTGTTTCTTCTTCTGGTGTAGCAGTATTAAATTATTTAATCTTATTTTTCTTTCTATGATGGCTTATCTCTTTTTTTAGGCTACTATTGTCTTCATGAAGAAAGAGAATTTCATGTATCAAGCATGTTCTACAGAAGGGTGTAATAAAAAGGTTGTCGATTTGGGGAATGGATTATATCGGTGCGAAAAGTGTGCTCGTGAAACACCAGATTACAAATGGCGCCTGCTTCTAATGGTAAGCATTACATGCCCCTTTTCCATACATTTATCATTCCAACAGTTATTTCACTGATGCAATTCCATACCATTATTTTTGGAGGAATCTTTTTAAAGGTGGAGTTCCGTTGTTGAGGGGGTGAATTTTTTAATTCTCGTCTTTCTTTTTGGGTATATTCTGACGTGTTGTTAAAAGTGCTGCAAATTTTTAGCGAAAGATTAATCTAGGTATAGTCAAATCAGTTTCTAGCAACAGTTCAACGAAATCTTGACATTATTATTTGGAGGTAGTTGCCTGTTAGGCATCATCAACCATGAGATTTTAAAAATATTATTACCATCTCATGCTTGATGATGTCCTCCAACAGGCAACTACTTCCAAATAATAATCTCAAGATTTCGGTAATGAACTGAAGAGAATTACTAGCGCACGACTTTGCGAAAAAAAAAGAATTTTAGTGGTTCAAAGCAACGAACACTAATGTGTGGTTGTGTGTTAATGCATACATGCAGTGCGATTGCTGAGTTTTTTCTAAATTCCTTCTCTTCACGAGTGTGATTTATCATTCTTACCTTAGCTAAAGTCTTATGTTTCGACAAACTGACTACCTTCGACCTACTAGTTTGACCTATGAAGTTGACTTAACTCACAGTCATTGCAAGGTATTTTGTAAATTATATCATTTTGTTTAATTGAGTCCACCACTGGGTTTTATCGTTATGTATCGGGGTATGCATTTCACCGTATCTTCACATTAATTTGCTAATAGACAATTCCACTACCAAAAACGAGTGTCTTCTGCTGTTACGTTACCACCAGTACTTCTACATCACTGGTCCCATTTGAAGCTACTATTTTGCATAACCAATTGCAGACACACTAAGTTGAACTACCTTCACAAAATGATTAATCGCTGATCACTACTTTCATTACTTGTCCCCATGAATTCTAATTTACATCCCAGTATATAAATTCTGGTTAATGAAGGCATGAACAGGGGAGTGCGCGCTAAATGATATGTTTAGTAACTACTACTGGTATTTTTATCACAAAAGAAAATGACAGCAGCAATAAGATCACTCTTTGTTTTCCTCATGCACTGGCACCTACAGAGTCAGTTACCTTTTATAGGAAGGAGCTATGCTAAATATAGACTCACTATTTAAGCCAAAAGTTAACTACCGAAAATTCGACATGTATTATAAATAGACATCACAACTGTAAGAAGATGAAATCACAGCTAGATAAACTGAAATAAATATTCATCGTTGATACAAGCTCTAAACTACCTTTTTCTAAAAGTGACATGGAGTTAATTTCCAACTGAGGTAACACCATACGCCTTAGTTTTAAGTTTATAATCAATGATTGTCAATCAAAAAATAAATTGTGTTCATTAGTAAACAAAACCAATGGGCATTTAATTAAATCAAATTAATGAAGTACAGTAGTTAGAGAAGAATAATGAACATGCATTAATGTTAAACTGAAAACCATCAGAAGTTATACTGCTTAACTAATTATGCCAGGAGGATGTGAAACAACCACTACACGTGAAGACACTTAACTCACATTCTAAAACTAGCCACTGGAAAGGCACAAGCATTTCGTGAGGGATAATACCCTTTTCCTGTGTGTAAAACCGTTATGAACGATTATAGACTAGCCTCCACTACCACCATGTATGTACGCATCGTCTCTTACTCGATGTCGAGTCAGTCTTTCATCCATAAGGACCCACTTTATTTATATTCAATCGTAGCAAAGGAAGATAAACAAAAGTGCACCGAATCAGTGATTATTCAAAGAACTCAGGTAAAGCTTCATCAAAGAAGATGGTGCACGATTGACGATGTCAGGGAACACCACAGTTCTAAATCGGCCCAAAGCGAGCAAGCTATTGATCGTCGGTCTTTGTAATGAGGGGGTGCTATGGGTGACTATAGGCCAGCTCGATAGTCTACCAACCAGAATTTAAATCGTACAAATATTAACTATCCATTTGTTAGTCCAACAAACAACCAGTCTAATTTCAACATTTTTGACAGATGACCTATGATACTTTTTGAAGATTACTATGATAAAAGTTTTATCGCTGTTGCTATTATATGTTGCTCGCTATTGGAATACACATCCCAATATCATTGTTTCAGTCTTCTTAATTACTAGTAGAGAGCAGGGAACCCGAATGAGAAATTGTACAATATTTACTATTCTTAAGTTGTACTCATGTGAATATTTAGTGACGATATTGAAATTACAAGTTTTCTAGTTATCAATTTTATTGCCCTGATCATTTCAATAAAAAATCTAAAGATTAGTATTGTTCGATTTTAATTTTTTTGTAAGGAGAATAAATAAACTATTAATTCCTAGAATGCCTATCACAACCAAACCTTTTAATTATCCAGCAAAAATGAAGATTTCACGTTCAAAACTGACAGTGTGGGAACTAAATGACCACCATACGTGAAATGATGGATATCGTTCCATTCGCCTTGTGTGACCGCTTAGGCATAAGTGGTTGTACCAGTACCAGGTGTGTGTTGTCGTTGATGCTACCTTTAGTAGAATTTCGAAAGGAAAAAACAAATGGTTATCTGTGCCACTTTCAGTTGTCAAGATGTTTGTCTTGTCATCGAAGGTTGTGTTTAAGACGCGTTTTAATTCCATACATGAGGATTTTGCCTTTCCTTGGTTAAGGGTGTTCAGGGACTGTAGAATTACCGTTATATCATTGATGTAATAAATACATCAATATTTGATAAAACTATTCGTTGACCAAATTGCAACTCTACGCATTATCATCGAACAAAGCATGGAATGGCAATCAAACCTCTACCTCAACTTTATAGACTTTGAGAAGGCCTTCGACAGCGTTGACCGCGAAGTAATTTGGAAACTACTCGAGTAATATGGCGTACCCCAAATATTCATCAACCTTATTCAACAGCTGTACGACAACGGCACATGTCAAGTGATCCACAACGGAAAACTCAGCGAGGCATTTGGAGTAAACACAGGAGTCAGACAAGGGTGCTTATTATCACCAATGATATTCCTAATTGTGGTGGACTGAATTATGCGTCAGACAGTGGGAAACGAGAAGACAGGGATATCCTGGACCGACGTGAAGAATCTAGAAGACCTGGATTTCGCAGATGATTTATGTTTGATGTCACACAAGATCGAAGACTTACAAGCGAAAACCGACAAACTGGTGGAAGAAGCAGCCAGAGAAGACAGGACTCCAGGTGAACATAGACAAGACGGAGGTTATGAAAATAACCAATCAACAACAACAACAGCAGCCACAGCAACATCCAGCGCCAATCACCATCAACGGGAGGGATTTGAAAGAGGTTACTTCATTCACTAATCTTGGGAGTACTGTCTCAACTACAGGAGGAACGGACGAGAATGTCAAATCGAGAATCTGGAAGGCGAGAAACACATTCATCAACGTGAAACCAATCTGGAAATCTTCGTCACTCAGTCTGCATCAACAACAAAATTCGGATTTTCAATACAAACGTCAAGTCAGTCAGTTCTTCTATACGGATCAGAAACTTGGCGGGTCACAAAGAATATTTCCAACAGCCTGTTGCAGACCTTTATCAACAACTGTCTTAGGTCTATACTCAAGATCAGATGGCCGGAAAGAACAAGAACCAACAAGAAACTATGGGAACAAACAAAACAAGAAGCAATCGCTCAACAAATATGCAGGAGAAAGTGGAGATGGATTGGACACTCGCTGAGGAGGTCGCTGGGTGACATCGCGCGTCAGGCCCTCGAGTGGAACCCGAGGGGGAGCGGCGAGTGGGACGTCAGTGCAAGGGTGACATGGAGGAGATCGTGTGAAGAGGAGTTGAAACACTATGGACTTACATGGATGCACGTGAAAAGTACAGCAGAAGACAGAAACAAGTGGCGACGTGTAGTTGAAGCCCTATGTTCCACTAGGAACCCAAGGGAATAATAATAATTAGTTGAAAATGTAAATAGGATGGAGAGTCAACCTTACCATGACTAAAAGTAGTAGTTGATCAAAATATTTAATCGTCTACTTCAAAGCCTTTAAGGTTTGCAAAGCAACTAGACATTTCGCATAAGCTGTGTAAAGTCTGAGTTTACTACCTTCACAGTTACCTTCATCAGTCATTTACTAGTTATCATTTTCTGTAATTAACCTATTGGCTGAAGTTCACCATTATGTGCTTCGCAGATGAAAAGTGCAAAGCCATGATCCCAAAGATTCTAAAAATAAAACTATTAATGAGATTTCTAATTGTATGCACTCAGTAACTTCGTACAGCATGATCACTGCGAGATGCATCACGCAAAACTAATAACAGTACAAGGGGAATAAAGGAAAGACTGGTTAAGAAGATATGATGAACAGGTTAGGATTGTTATAAAGTGTTCGTTGATTTGAACCACTGCAATTCTTTTTTTTTCGCAAAGTCCTGCATTGGTAATTCTCTCTCTTGAGTTCATTACCGTTAATCACAGTAGAAATAAGAAGAGTGCAATAGGAATCCCCATTGGTGTTTATATTGACGAAGACCTTATAACTTCAGCTACTAATTCACATAACCCGTTGGATCTCGTACTTACTGTGCGTCATGATGTGCATACAAATATTCATCTGATTGTACCACGTAATGCGTTTATCACTTTGCTTGTTCTGATAAACATAGTAGGAAATATTTTATAAAACAATTTAATTGTCCATTTACGCCGTCAACGGTTCATATTGTGGCCACTCGAAGTAGACAGTCCTGTTCTGTAAAGACTGGTAATTATACAGTCCCTGAACACCCTTAACCAAGGAAAGGCAAAATCCTCATGTATGGAATTAAAACGCGTCTTAAACACAACCTTCGATGACAAGACAAACATCTTGACAACTGAAAGTGGCACAGATAACCATTTGTTTTTTCCTTTCGAAATTCTACTAAAGGTAGCATCAACGACAACACACACCTGGTACTGGTACAACCACTTATGCCTAA